AACTGGGCTGATTTGATCAGTCACTTAAAGGGGTGGATCTGAGGTTAGGTCAAGCCAAAAAGGATTGGATCTTAACTCTATCCACTCATGGAGACCAAATTCAAATTAGGATTTGAATCTGGTAACCTCCTGATAAGATCAAGAGTGGGCTGATCTAATCTGCAGATAAGATTAAGAAGACTCCTTATCCAAATACAGATTTGGATTAGGATAACTCCTAATGAGATTAGGAGGTTTCTTAATCACAAAGAAGGAGGAGAAAACCCTAATTCGAATTACAAGAATTCAAACCTTAAGGGATTTCGCAGAGAACACTCTGCAACTTAGAGATTGGATCTCAAAGAAACCCTAGAGAAAAGAAAGCAGTTCGCCATCTTCTTCTCTAGCCTTCTCCTCCAGCAGCCGCCGCCATCTACTGCCAGTTCGAGTTCTTTGTAAGGGAAGATCAAGAAAAGTTCTTGATTGTGTGTGGTGCTCACTGCTTCCATCGAGTTCTTCAGAAGAACCTAGTTCGTGGGACGAACACTGCTGGTTCTGTTCCATCATCACTGTGTCATCTTCAGTGGGAGCAGTTCTTGGGATTTTCTTTGGGCGTGAACACCGACGTTGGGAGATACTGCTTCTCCGGATCAGGTATATCCCTTCCCTTCTCTTTTGGTTCAGAACTGGTTCGGTTTTGGTTCAAAATAAATCCTGGAAAATTCAGGGAATATGATTCCCAGTTGGAAGAATGGCAAGAAATTTTTGAAATTCACCCACCCATTCCGCAACCTTTTTGGCGTCCATATGATGGATCTTACCATTCTTTCAGATGTTCCCAATACACGGCGGGAATGTGTTGTGGGACGTTGTGGGGCAGCCCCTTGTGGGGCGTAGATGTGAACTCAAACAGGTTGTTGTAATCCCAACATCTGTACAGTGTTACCCTACATCAATCTGTGGAGAATCTGTTACTTGATGTACCTTATTAGTGCAGTCCCTGTTGTTCATTATTTTTCTTGTATGTCTTATTTCTTTTCTTTTTCTATTTCAGCCCTGTTTGGGCATTCTTGTAATTTTACTCTCCATTAATGTTATGAGGGCTTTTTGGGGGTGAGGATCGATTCATTCTGGACACCCCTATAACTTGTTCTTTGTGCTTCTCCTGCTTTGGTTGAGAAGGTTTATTTTTTAGTTAAGATTGAAGAGCAATAACAGGGCATTCAAAATCCGTGTTTGAGTTCTTCTTTGGAGTTACTGTGTGAGCTGTTTTGATCAGCACAAGATTTCTCAGTTTTCCTGGAAAGGACGCCTAGCAGGTTGGTAAATCACCTATTTCTCTCAATTGCTTGATCCAATCAACCTATAACCCTAGATTAGGTGTCGCCCTAGGGTTATCTTGCTTCATTTACCTGGTTCAGATTTCAGTAGAGAGTTTTTTATCCCACTTTTGGTTTGACAGTCCTGGAACTTGCCATTTTTTGGACTGTCAACTCTAAGGTTCTGTTTGTTGAAGCTGGTGTGGTTTCTTCTGGAGTATCTTAGTTTCTCTTAGTGCTGAAAATCATCTATTGCTCCTTGGACCGAAGTGGTTGGTGGTCATTACTTATTTCTCTTGCTGAACTTTGTTTCATTTCTTATTCTTGCTTGTGGTTTATTTACTCTCTTTGCAGAAATGGCCTCTGACGGAGTAGGCATTATCCTCATAAAACTAAATGGATTAAACTTTGGAATGTGGAAGTTCCATTTTCATTTCTATGTTGAAGGGAAAAGCTTGGAAGGGTATCTAAATGGAACTGTTACTAAACCAGCTGAGATTGATACTTGGGCATTTCAGCAATGGAAACTAGATAACGGAAAAATTGTTTCTTGGATTCTTAGCTCTATAGAATCCCATACTGCTGTACCTATGAGGAGGATCAAGACTTCCTATGAAATGTATTCCTACCTGAAAAAAGTGTCAAATTGAATCAGAAATTTTTGCTTACCATCAAAGGGATAGGAAGATTCAAGAATGCTATGCTGATTTCCTTGATTTGCGGGCTGAATAGGAGTTGGTTCATATTGATCGTTCTAACAGCAGAATGCATGAAATACCTTCAAAAACAATTTGACAAAAGAAAGGTAAATCAATTCTATTAGACAGTTTTGTATGCCCTTAGCTTCAATCAGAATGATGTACTTTATGAGTTTATTGTAAATGAATAAAGATACATATTTGACTCATGTT